ATACATATATATATATATATATAATATATATATATATATATATATATATATATATATATATATATACCGTATATATATATATATACCGTATATATAGGCACCCTTGGCATTGGCCTATTTAGAAATCGGTGGTTGTTTAACAGTTTCAATAGTGCGATTATACGAACAAGTATTATTACAATTATGTAGCATTGGCTACCGTACTCTTGATTATTCTGTAACGCATTATTCAATCATTGCACCAGTGGAATTTTAAGGGGCGCTATTTATGTTTTGTAGGTTCGTCAAGACATTATTATTACAGTATAACCAGGCAGTTGTTATAGTGCACTATAATAACTCCCTGGTATAATCTAATGCTGTTTCATCGGATTTCCAAATAGGCAAGATACACCGTCAGCGATTTAATTAAAGAATTTCTTGATGATGACATAATTAATGTCGAAATATTGAATCCCAACACGATGGCGTGTATTTCAATACTTGGAGTATGTATTATACTTTCTTATCTGAGATTAATCAGTGGACCTTTCGGTAACCCAGCTATGGTACTTCAATTTTTCCTAAAATGCATGCGTTCCGATGAAGCTATAATGAATAGCACTAAAATTAGTTTAATAATATCATTTTAATTAAAGTAAATCACAAAATAATTCTGTGTTATAATGAAATAACGGTAAAAGTATGTATTTAGTATTTGTATAATAATAGCATACAAATGTATATCAATCATGCCTCAGGTCGGTCAAACAGAAAATGTAACGACCCTGTGTCTTTAAGGCTACTGTAAAGAAGTTGACCGTGTGAATATGTTCTACTGTGTTGCCGTTTTCTGTAATAGCGACCTCTTGCGGCAGATGATACATTTGGTTTTGTTTATGCAAGGAGGTTTTAACCTCCTTGGTTTATGTGAAGAATATAGTATGGAACGCCAAAAGGACAAAATACAATTGGCAGCAGCGCAAAACTGAGAGTCAGCAGTGCAAAACTGAGAGTCAGCAGTGCAAAACACAGAGTCACAGTCCAAAACTGAGTAGTGTAAAACACAGAGTTACAGTGCAAAACTGAGAGTCACAGTGCAAAACACAGTCACAGTGCAAAACTGAGAGTCACAGTGCAAAACAGAGTCACAGTGCAAAACTGAGAGTCACAGTGCAAAACACAGTCACAGTGCAAAACACAGAGTCACAGTGCAAAACTGCGAGTCACAGTGCAAAACACAGTCACAGTGCAAAATTGAGAGTCACAGTGCAAAACTGAGTCACAGTGCAAAATATTGGTGGCAATGCAAAACTCCAATGGCAGTGCAACTCAAGTGGACGCCCTCTATTTTGAATTAAAGTTTCACAGCTTTTTTGGACGGTGTCAACAAGTAAAATGGATGAAATTTTGAGGTCACTTGGGCAATCCTTAGTGACCATTGACAAGTTTGAAAGAGAGGGGAGTGCATATAAGCATTACAAATAATACAAAAATTAAGTGTTTGAAATAATTAATAAACAGTGGGCTATGGAGAAGGCTAGTAGTAGGTACCTACTACTAGCCTCCTCCCTAGCCCACTTAATTTTTGTATTAGGCCTACAACTCAAAATACTTGTTGACCTCCTCAATAGCTGTATCTGTTAAGCGTTCAATCTCGCTCTCTAATTTTAATTTTACACTACACCCATACTCAATGGGTGTTCGATTTGGAGTGAATATGTGTATTTTATATTCCTCTTGGTCGTTGAGTAAGATTATATCTCAAAAATGAGTAACTGGTTAGTATTTACTCATCGAAAATTAATAGAGTGAACCAAATGGAGTGCCAATCAAACTTGCAAACTGACCAATCAGAGCAGGGCAGTACATTTTGTACGTTACGCTATCATTTTGTGGGACCCAGTGATAATATCCAAGCAGCGGGACATAGTGGAAAAGGTGTATTATGCATGATACTCAAATGTTATTCTTAGTCTAAACTTATTCCTCCATATTCTTAGTAATATCCAGAACGTATACACAGCTCCTCCAGTTCTGTATTCAGAGATAAAAAGCAAATCAACCAACACACACACACATCTAGAGGCATACACACCCAACTACAAACCCCAACCCCCAGAAAAAAAAAGAGTAAGACATATCATAAATGCTCAAAGATAGAATATACTTTTACTTCAGTGTAATAATTTTATAATTGGCATGAAAGTATATTAATAGCATGACATACTCCTGTTTACGTATTTGTATGCATTATTATAATATTCATTTACATTTATAACACACCTAAATTGATCCTTATCATTTGATTAGTGGATTGCATATCACCATTTCGTCACTTATCATGAACATTTTGCTCCATTCGTTTTTGTCCCATTGCATGCCTCCAGCTAATACAATGTTTTCATCGGTTAAAAGAAGATAGACCCTTCCATTCTGAAGCAAGGTAGATAAAACTTTATATAAGACATCAAATAACAAGGATCTATTTTAGGTGTGTTATAAAATGAATAATGCATGTTTTTTTATTCATGGAATGTAAAGAATATTTTCATAAATTGAAAGATTGACTGTTTCATTCAACTCGTGAAAATATTCTTCCCATTGCACTCAAACATTCATTATTTGTATAATATTTTATGTATTTTTATGCATTAATGTATCATTCACAAGACCTAATTATAGTAACCAATGGTAATAGTTGTCAAAACACATCGGATTCTTTAAGTACTCATTAAAAAAAAACGATTAAAACAAAGCTAAAATATGTTATCGAATCTCGTAATGCATGCAAGTTGTGCAACTGCTACAGAGAGTTCTTTTCCATCAGTTATAAGATGTCTGTGTAAATACGACTTAAAAGCGCTTTGATTACCATTCTTTATTCTTAGCTAATTTTTCTGCATATTATCACTCAAACATATGGTTACAGACCTTACTTAATATTTGGCTGCCACTTCACATTTATCTGTGATTTAACACATCACTACATCAAAATCAGTTGCTATTTTAAAGGCCAACATGCACTGTGTCTTTCATTTTTAGAGATATGTGCCTTATAATTTTAATTTATCATCATTGCAGTATTAAAATAAATAATGCGGCAATAAAATTATTTTTGAATTATTATCCTACATGTATATATTATTATTATTATTATTATAATTTCCTATCATGCTTAATAAAGAAAACAAGTAACTAAAATATCCTGTAATTATCACTTGTGGCTATACAATTTTACCTATAGGTGGCTGTTTTGATAAATTTATATTAAAATATTTTTAACTTTTATTAAATAGAAAGTTCTCATTTAAAAATTTAATTAAGTACTAAAACAGTATCAATCTAATGCCATAATACCAAACAAATCATTATAATCATTTTTTATGTAGTAAATAAATCTTTGAATCTTGAAAATTTAGCCATTATCCTGGCAACCACTCTTACAAATTGAAATTAAATGATCACTTTGGAAGAAAATGCTATATACAGTATTAGTACTTGTATTTTTTCACCTTAATATGTGACACAATTATCCAAAAAAAAAAAAATTAACAGGGAACACATGAAAATAGATGTGTATATAATGAAGTACTGTACTAATGATCAGAGGCAGCACTAATTGAAGGGGGTTTAGGGGGTGGAAATAGGCCATTCTCTCCCTGATTTCCAACTCTCTTACAGTAGCGTAAGCTCCACCAGATATAGTCAGATTCAGTTGGACAGCTGCTATCAAGGTGATATACTTCATATTAAGCAAATGTTATCTAAATTTGTTAGAGGGTGGGAACACAAGGGGGATCCAGTGAGTAGGGGCCATGCAACATGCGAAGTACCAAGCAGGGGGAGGGACTGGTGTTTGCGATTTTTGTTATGAAATGCCTAACAAAAAACACTGGTACATGAAATTTAAATCGAAAATTAACTTGTCTTTTTTTTGGGAAGGGGCAGGGGGGAGGTGGGGTAGAGAGGCTTAGCTGCCTGTTTCTCCTCTTAGATCTATCCCTGCAGGTGTGGGTCAGTTTCAGTATATATTTTAAGAAAATTTGGAATTTTGGCATATGGTCATTTGTCCTCCCACATTCTCTGGACCCACTACTAAACTTAACACTGATATTTATAACCTGTGACCATTTATTAACAAACTATCATTAAAAAAATATTACAGTAGATTTTTATGAACAGGGTCCCTTGCACTCTTTACAGTTGGACATGATATCGTCCTGGTGCTCCTCCACTTGTATGGTGATCTGGTTAATGGCAAACTTCTTACGCAGCAGACATGATGCCTTGCACAGAATTGTCTGGTACATATCTGCTGTCAGGTCTTCTTTTGCTACGGTTTAAACAAAAATAAGATTACAAAATGAATTTCATTAGTGGTAATGATAAGTATATATTTGTAAAGTTGGATTCATTAAGCTTCCCAATTTAAATTATTTTTCTCCAAGTCATTATTTTTGTACCCTTCCCAGTTAACTTCTTTCCTCTTTCTCAAATTAGATTTCTTCCCTTCACATGTCGGCATCTCCTTGTCCAGGTCTGCTTCTTCCTCTCCTCATGTCACCTTCCTTAAATCAGCTTTTTTCTTCCCCCTGAATCTTCTTTCCATACTCAAATCTGTTTCTTTCTCTCCCCCAGCTTGTTTCTCTTTCCCAATCTATTTCTTTCCTTCTCCACAGGGATCCCAATTAGTCTCTCGTAAGTGGCAGGAGTCATTCTCTTACCCAAATCATCTTCCTCATCTCCTCAACTTGACTTGCATTACATTCCCTCCTCTCTCCCGTAACATCTGCTCTCATAACATTTCAATCATTCTGTCTCTCCTGTCTCCCCCTCAAATTGAAAATGTCTGAATCTTCCAGCCCCCATCCCACTTCACCTTCCTATTAGCCCCCTCCATTTCAAAACTCCTAAATACTCCCCTGCTCTGAACACATTAAATAGAGGATCTTAAAAGCTGGCAGGCAACATTACGTGTGGTATCATAGGGCTATAGGATGTTTACATTTTCATGTGGCCGTCGGAATTACAATGGGCTCAAAATTATTGTAAAGTCTAATTAACGGAGCGTACCAACAGTGAGATGGACGGCAAGTGCAACTCTATTGACCGTTAGTGACCACACGTTTAGGCTGTGGACGGTCTGCACATTCTCAATGGCTTGCAGGTCATCGTGAACATGTTGGAGGCTAATACTCTTTGGCACACCTAAAAGGGAAAATATTATTTAATTTTTACCACATGAGTTTATATATTTTTAAAACTAAAAAAAACAAAAAAAACAGTATAAATGATGGTTTAACAGTAACTTTCAAAAGATCATAAAAATAATTCTAATATTGATGATAAATGATAGAAATAAATTTTTCTATTTATAATATGATTATTTTCTTTAATAATAATACACAAAATAGATATTTCTATGTTTATGTGTACGGTACAGTTATGTTAAAGTTTCAAGAAAAAAGTGAAGTTACCTTCCATAAGCAGATAGACTGCATCTCTTAATATTGTGACAGTTGTTATTAAAACCAAAACTGAGAAAATAAATGTACATATAGGGTCTGCTAGCTTTATGTCTGGTTTATCTTTCTGTAATTTAAAAAAAACATATTGTTAACGACAATACAGTAAAATGATGCAAACATTATTTAAT